GTCTGGGTCTGTGTAACCTGTGGTCTCAGTCTGGGTCTGTGTATCCAGTGGTCCCAGTCTGGGTCTGTGTATCCAGTGGTCCCAGTCTGGGTCTGTGTATCCAGTGGTCCCAGTCTGGGTCTGTGTAACCAGTGGTCTCAGTCTGACCTCTGTGTAACCAGTGGTCTCAGTCTGACCTCTGTGTAACCAGTGGTCTCAGTCTGACCTCTGTGTAACCAGTGGTCTCAGTCTGGGGTCTGTGTAACCAGTGGTCTCAGTCTGACCTCTGTGTAACCAGTGGTCTCAGTCTGGGTCTGTGTAAACAGTGGTCTCAGTCTGGGTCTGTGTATCCAGTGGTCCCAGTCTGGGTCTGTGAAACCAGTGGTCTCAGTCTGGGTCTGTGTAACCAGTGGTCTCAGTCTGACCTCTGTGTAACCAGTGGTCCCAGTCTGGGTCTGTGTAACCAGTGGTCTCAGTCTGACCTCTGTGTAACCAGTGGTCTCAGTCTGACCTCTGTGTAACCAGTGGTCTCAGTCTGGCATCTGTGTAACCAGTGGTCTCAGTCTGACCTCTGTGTAACCAGTGGTCCCAGTCTGGGTCTGTGTAACCAGTGGTCCCAGTCTGAGTCTGTGTATCCAGTGGTCTCAGTCTGGGTCTGTGTAACCAGTGGTCTCAGTCTTGTCTCAGGTTTGTTTAGGATGACCTCTGACCTCTCTGGTCTGGATCATGGGGGTCTGTTTGGACCTGGACCTGGTACTCACCCATAGTGGTAGACCCTGTGGTGTGGACGGTCAGAATGGGAACACTGGATCTGATCAGACTGCAGACACAAACATACAGGTGTTATTGACCAGGTGTTCAGATTACCTGAACATCACTGGTTCTTATCAGCTGATAATCTGGAGCAAAGGTCGCTGACAGTTGGTGCTTTTATTTTGAAGGGTCTCCGTTTATTTTGTCCCCAACAATGAAAAGTCACTGAAGGAAATGAAAAGTGTCAGGACAGAATATTAAATAATAAATCCTTATTTCTTTGACTCGTGTTTTTATGTGTGAGCTTCGTCCTGTTTTAGCTCAAATATCGCGATAATGTTAAACCTGACTTCAAAGAATAAAATMTAAAACTCACCTCCTGAATCTGACAAAGCTGAAAGCAGAGCAGCTCCTCAGGGCCACGGCGGCCATTTAAACCCGGGTTTAAGGTCCAAAGTTCACCTTTATTGATCCAGCTCCAAGTCAAACACACGTTGTGTCAGMGCACTGTCTGAACATACAAAGATTGATCTGAAGAAGAAACCAGCAGGAAGTTCAGCAGGAGGCTCGGGCTTAACAAACTGCAGCAGCGACGTCATTACCGAGGCTAGGTCCCGCCTACTTCAACATTTTCTACTCTCCTATTGGTTGAACCCGGAAGTCGGCCGGTCTGATTTGTCCAATGAGAAACAGCTATCTCAAAKGTTGTCCAATCAAAGCGCAAGCTGCAAGCTAAAGCCCGCCTCATTCGGGGACTGTGTCCAATCAACGCTCAGTGTTCCGGTCCGCTTCGGGAGAAAGATGCTGCAGAGGTTCTGAGGTTCGTCTGGAGGTTCGGAGCAGAACATGCCGCTGCCCAAGTCCCGCAAAATCACCGTGCTGGGCTACAGGTCGGTGGGTAAGTCCGGAACAACCCGCGCTGAGGTTCAGCTCTGTCTGGATCCACGTCATATCAGGGTCCAGACCCTGCAGGACTTAGTCTGTCCAAGGTCCTCTCAGAATAAGACCAATCAGAGCCCAGAACCAGCTGGACCTGTCTTCATGTGGATTTAGRTAGATTTAACAGAGATCCGGTCCTTTCTACAACAATGCAATGATTGGTCCTCTGACAGCCAATCAGATGAGTGGTCCTGATGCTGAGGCTGAGAACCAGGTGGTCCAGGTCCATGTGGGTCCAACAGGGATTTATCCAGGTTTCAGCAACAACAGGTGATCTGCTGAGACTGTAAATATAACAACAACAACAACAACAACAACAACAACAACAACAACAACAACAACAATAATAA